GAGACTTAGTGCTGGAAAGTCTGAAAAGCAACCTCATGTACTGGGGAAGAAGAAGAAGAAGAAGAAGAAGAAGAAGAAGAAGAAGAAGAAGAAGAAGAAGAAGAAGAAGAAGAAGAAGAAGAAGAAGAAGAAGAAGAAGAAGAAGAAGAAGAAGAAGACGAAGAAGAAGAAGAAGAAGAAGAAGAAGAAGAAGAAGAAGACGACGACGACGTAGAAGAAGAAGAAGAAGAAGAAGAAGAAGAAGAAGAAGAAGAAGAAGAAGAAGAAGAAGAAGGAGAAGGAGAAGGAGAAGGAGAAGGAGAAGGAGAAGAAGAAGAAGAAGAAGAAGAAGAAGAAGAAGAAGAAGAAGAAGAAGAAGAAGAAGAAGAAGAAGAAGAAGAAGAAGAAGACAACGACAACAACAACAACAATTACAACAAGGACGATAATAATCTTTTCTACTAGGCTTTCCGCCTGGCGGTTGCAAGTACACAAAAATAAATAACACCTGGCTTCGACATCTGACACAACGACACGTTTCATGAATACTCGCCCGTTTAATGTGTAGTAATCCTATTTTAAATACATGATAATGAATCTGAAATATACCAACACGCATGTTCTGATTACGTAAGACGTTTACAAACTAATACTGACTGTAGCGACTAGTCTCACTTTCATCTTGAAGAAAATTAAAATAAATGAATACATTGTAAAATAAAACTTCATGTAAGATTTACCCCATCTTTCTTTTTAAAATTCATTTTTCCCTTTCTTTTCTTTTTTTTTTCTTTTAGTGTTTCCTTATTCCGTTTCGTTTTCTTGCTTCTTTGGTTTGCGTTTTATTGTTGTTGTTGTTGTTCATGTTTGTTTTGTTTTTTCAAAGGTTTGGGGGAGGGGGTGAATAAGGGGCGAATGTGGAATGTTAGGCGTTTACTGGCGATATCACTTTATACAGGTAGCGGCATCTTGTGAGTCGGCAGCGGGCAACGTACACTTAGATATAATAGGCGTAACCTGAAACTTGGTGTTAGCGAATTAGATCATATGTATGCATGGACCTATTATAATCCAGTTCTTCTTCTTCTTCCTCGTTCTCGATGACAGCAGCTAGACAGTCAGTCCGATGTCGCATACAAACTGTGTAGTTCGCTTCAACTCTGAAAGACTGCCATAGAGTTTTCTCTCAAGGGGAGACACATTCTGCTACGTCTGTGAGCGAAGGGTGGCGTAGCGCGGGCAGTGCTGAAGGACATGGTTGGCATCCTCTTGGTCGTGTCCACATTCACAGGTCGCTGTTTCTCCCACTTTTAATTTGGCGTGCATATGGTGTTTGAGTCTGTTGTGGCCACAACGGAGTCTAAAGATTGTGACTTAGTCTGCTCTATTTAGTATGTAGTAGGGGTCATGTCTGTTGTGCTTAGGGTGGTACCTGTAATCCAGTGGAACCTGCTTCAATAGCCACCTGCCCGAGACAATCACCTGTACCAAAGACCACCTTCCCTTTCCTTCATTGCGTTTCTTCTATAATATAATGACATTGCCAAAAAACGCCACCTGTTTAAGACAACCACTTTTTTTTCTTAACATTGGAAGGCCCTCTTAGACGATTTGTAATTGTATTTGCATTTACGATGTCAGTATTGTTTTCCTGAAGTACAACTGTAGTTTCAGGCTATAAACGAAATGCTACCGAAGAATTACAACGTTTTATCTGCTCAGTACCTAATTTTGATAAATTTGACGTTAAAAAATTGAGTTTCACAACATGTCAAGCTTTACCTAAAGCAATTTCTTGGATTAAAAATAATACTTGATAACAACTCCAAATAATCCTACGATTTTAATAGTGCAAATATAACATTTCGTTTCTGACCTCATGATCTTGGTAACTCAAAACGGCTAAAAATGTCAGACAGAACTTTGTAATTCTAAGCTAGCGAACTGGTTGACTACCAAGCTTACCTAACATGATCATCCATGCCCATCCTCGGTCAACGGGGTGGTTGCTTTGTGACGTCATTATTGATCTTGCCGTCGGATCCCAGGTGTCACCAGCCAGACGTAGAGGTTATTAACACTGAGTGCTTGAGGTATGCTCTGAGCAGGAAGAGAACAGAGATAATGTATTCATAAAAGTGTTTGGTATGTAATGATAGACGCAGTCAGGTAGTGTGAGAAGCGAAACAGAAGGGAATTCAGAGATGGGAGGAGCAAGAGAGAGAGACAGAGACAGAGAGACAGAAACTGAGAAAGAGAGAGAGACCGGGGGGGGGGGGGCAAGAGAGAGACAGACAGAGAGGGGGAACAGAGAGAGTTGGAGAGACAGAGACAGAGAAGGAGAGACAAAGACAGACAGGGATGGAGACAGACAGTGAAGTGGAGAGAGAAGGATTGAGAGAGAGAGAGAGAGAGAGAGAGAGAGAGAGAGAGAGAGAGAGAGAGAGAGAGAGAACAAAAAGTGTTTTTTGGGGCCCCTACTTTTTTTGGGGGCGGGGGGACCCCCCCCGGAAAAACCCCCTTCCCGAGGGGAGGGGCCCTCTTTTTTTTTGTTCCCGCCGAGAGGGGAACAACACCGGAATCCCCGTCCCAAAAAAAAAGTTTTGTCCCCGTGCTCATTCCAGATCGAAGGGAAAAGGAGACATCCCAAG